TATGTTGATGGCTCACCGTCCTCTGTTAAAAGGCAATATGCAATATTACCTTCTATAACATAATTTGAGTGCCAATTGGGACGTCTTCTCACACGATCTGATTGATGAGTTGTTGGAGCTTCAAAACTCTCTGGTTCTTGTTCATCATGTGCTGGTTCTGCTTCAGAAGAATCTCCTTCTTCAAACTTTTTTTCCACATGTATCTGAGTAGTCTCTGACTTTTCAGCGCTATCATCGTCTTCTTTTCTTTGTAGTTTATCTTCTACAAAGATAACATCTCTACTAATGATCACTTTGCGGGCATTGGGATCCCACAAGCGATACCCCTTTACTCCATCAGCATACCCCAAGAATTTGCATTTCCTGGATTTTGGATCCAACTTTGAAATTTCTTGGGAGTTGTACATCACGTACACTATACTTCCAAATATATGGAGGTTTGAATAATCAGCTGTTTTTTCAGTCCACATCTCCATTGGTGTCTTCAGCTCTATTACAGTTGATGGAGTTTGATTCACCAAATAACAGGCGGTATTGACTGCTTCTGTTCAGAATGATTTTTCTAGGCCTGCATCCCTCAACATTGCTCTTGTTCTTTCTAACAAGGTTATGTTCATCCGCTCTGCCACTCCATTTTGTTGAGGAGTGTTCGCCACTGTGAACTGTCTTTTGATGCCTTCTTTCCTGCAAAAGTCATCAAATTCTTCGCTTGTGTATTCTCCTCCATTATCTGTTCTGAAACACTTGATCTTATTTCCAGAATCAAGTTCCACCCGCGCTTTGAAGTTTTTGAAAGTTGAAAACACGTCTGACTTCTTCTTAATAGGGTGCACCCAACATCTCCTGGAGTAGTCATCAATAAATGAGACAAAGTATTTTGCTCCACCTAGGGACGTTACTGGTGCTTGCCATACGTCAGAGTGAACCAATTCTAGAACACTTTTGCCTCTAGAATTTGATGTGTTGAATTTCAACCGGTGCTGCTTACTTGTTATGCAATGCTCACACAAAGTAAGTGATACCTTTGTTAAGCCTGGATGTAGCTTTTGCTCCACAAGGACTTTCATTCCTTGTTCTGACATGTGTCCAAGTTTCTTATGCCATAACATTGCAGAATCTGAACTATATGAGGCAACAGAGGCTTCTGCTTCTAGCAATGTCTCTCCCTTCAGCATATACAAGTTTGCAGCTATCTTTTCACCTTTCAGCACCACAAGCGCTCCACATAACACCTTCATGATTCCTTTCCGTGTTTCAATCTTGCTTGCATTATTATCTAACAATCCGTAGGATAATAAATTTTTCTTCAGGCCTTTCACGTGCCGCACATCTCGAACAACTTTAATTGTTCCGTCATACATCTTCAATTTGATGGTTCCCACGCCAACGATCTCTAAGGCATAATCATTGCAACTATAAACAGATCCTCCTGAGACAGGTTCATAATGATGGAACCATTCTCTTCTTGAGGTCATGTGATATGTTGCTCCCGAATCAATGAGCCATATATCTGTAAATCGTTTTCTTACTTCCACGGTGGTTGACGCTTCACAGCATAGAGCATCTTCATCATCTGAAGTGTTTGCGGTATTGCCTTGTGGATTGGAGTTTTTTTAGACTCCAATAATACTTCTTCAAATGACCCTTCTTTCCACAGTTGTAACACTTTAAATTCTTCTTGCTCCTCGACTTCGATCTACCATGTTTGTGACTGCTGCTTTGGCCACGTTCTGTTGATATCCCTCTCATCGTTGTCATCGTTGTCAACGCTTCTGCTTGTTGCAGATTTACTTGTCTGTCTTCCTTGTTCTTGCGCCGATTTTCTTCTTGTAGAACAGTAGCTGCAACATCATCAAAGACTAGACTAGTGACATTACTGTTTGTCAAGTTGATTATGAGTTGATCATACGAATCCGGTAGACTTTGAAGTAGAAGTTCAGCACGTTCTTGTTCTCCTATTTTACAACTTAAGGATGTAAGCTGAGAAAATAAAGTATTCAGTGTATTTAAGTGCTCCGTCACTGAAGTAGATTCCGGCATACGGAGAGTGTACAATTTTCTCTTAAGGAAAATTTTATTGTGTAGCGATGTGACCTCGTATAATTTGGTGAGATGGTCTCATATCTCCTTAGCTATCTTCTTCTCCTCGATGCTTGACAATACTTCATCTGCTAATGCTAGATGAAAGTTTGTCATAGCATTCTCGTCCATTTCGATCCATTTGTTGTCATCTGTGAAATCCACTGGCCTTTCACTGATAGTTGCTAGACAACCGTCTTTTCTCAGGATGACCTTCATCTTCAATTTCCACAATGAGAAATTTCTCACATTGAATTTTTCAATATCAAATTTCGTTGCCATAGCTTCTATTATTGATAGCTCACACTATTTCACTATCGTGAATAGTTCTCTAGAACCTCAAAGAATGGGTAATACATTCTTATTTTCTTATGTTGGAGGATCCACCTTTTGGTGGCAACCACAAAGACAATAAGCAGATATTACACACTCAAATCTGGCTCTGATACCAATTGTTGCGGAATACGGCTATCGGATAGAGCAAAATCGCAACTGATAATTTGAGAAAATAAAAATGAAGATAAAAGAGACACAAAATTTACGTGGAAAACCCATAAAAAATTTAGGGTAAAAACCACAGGCAACGGTAGAATAATTTCACTATGAGAAAATAGGAATTACAACCTCTCTCGATCTACCAAGGAGAAAACAATGATAATTCTCTCTTGATAAAAAATGAGAAAACAACTCTCAAAAACTCTCTAAATTCTCTCTAGTATTGGAAGAAAGCTAGAATGCTTTGGGATGATTTTGAAGCTAAATGAGCTAGGGTATTTATAGTTGAAACTTAAGGACTAATCTTATAAATATCTTAAATTACAATGACTAAAATTAATTATCTCATTACTTAATTTCAACAAAAATTAGGTGCCTAATTTTTTACTTTTACAAAGCACCATTTGGTGCCTATTTGGTGCCTAAATTATTTGACTTTTAACAGTACCTGACCGTAGGGAGAGGGCTGAGATTTTAAAGGTAATTTTAAAGGGTGAGAGAGTTGAACCAGACATCGACTTTGACTGCATAGCCAGTTTGTGTGAAGGTTACATAGGTTCGGATCTTCTTGAACTCTGCAAGAAAGCATCCTACTTTCAGGGACTTACTAGATGAGGAGAAGAAAGGAAAATCATCTGGTGTAAGTATATTTTGTTTGTATGCATTACCTCACACTTCTTAAAATTCTGTTGTGCGACGAGGGACGGAATCTTAAAATTGTGTATATATGTATGAATTATAGAAGTTATTTTTTCATGTGTAATTGATTAACTTTGGTATTTTTTCCCCTTAGCAATTTTTTAAACTACATATCATTGTTTATTTATCATGTCAATGTTTTTTATTCATCTTCCGTTGTCTATTTTTTCAGGCTCCAAGGCCATTATCACAGATTGATTTGGAGAAAGTTCTTTCCACATCAAAGAAGACTTGGGTTGCTGCAAATGAATATAGCAGGCTAAGTTCACAGTTATCTCGATGGTCAAGGCAAAGGGAATCAGATGATTTTCAGGTTCAAGCTGCAATCAATGAACTCTCTAAGCTTGTAGTTTCTCAAATCGTTAACCTTCAATCAGATTCCCAGGATACCTGAAATTTGCAGCTATGTGCTTGGATGCCACCACACGATCAGGTTCAAGCTTGTGATGGCAGTTTTAAAACGGTTTTAGTTTAAACTTTCCGATTGGCTTTTGGCTCCAATTCGTTTCCCCATAACATCAGATGCAGCATATTCAAGGGTGCTTGGGGAAGCTAGGAAGCGAAATCTTTTAGTTGTGTTTTTATAAATTGGGATGCTATGTGGTGGATCACTTTTTGAGACTGGTCCAGATTTTGGGATCTTTCCTATCCTTTGTAATAATGTGGTCAACTTTTTTTCGGATGCAAAGATTTCATTGATTTGTAAAAGCATTCCAAAGAAAATGGATGGATCAAAAACTCTGTACATAGATAAAGTCTGAACTTTTGATTAAAAGTTAAATTATATTGAAAAAATTCCGAGCCTAGAAAATCCGTGGATATTGGCTTATGGACGGCTTGGTTACCAAATCAGATCTTATGATTTTTGAGTGTTAGATCTTGCCATCGACAAACAAGGTTGTCTCGGAGAATTCCCGGTTGTGTTTCGATATCAATTTTCTGAAGTTAAATTTTGATATTCAAAGTTAAATTTAGAATATTGAATAGTGAGTATCGATACTTTTACTATGAATGGATCCAAGCCTTTGATTTTTAAAGGAGACAAAAGTTTGAGGGGTTTTCATTTTCGTCACTTTTCTTCAATCACCTGAAAACCCCCATTTTCTTCCCTTTTGGTTAGCAGCAAAAATGGCCAGGTTTTGACACTACTTGCCGAGGTTTAATTGAGCCTTATTGGGTGAGCTTATTGGGCGAGCGTTCGAGTTCAAGGGTGAACTTTTAGTTTAGGTTACTTGGAAAGAAAGGAAGGTGAGAGAACTTCTGGTACATTCTCATGCATCCGTAATTTATATTCTAAGTTTTAGAGTTCATCAATGCTTATAATTGGTGGATGTTGTTGGTTGTGTGTTTTGTTTTGTAATAAAGCTTCCTAGGGAAAGTGCAAAGTAGTTGACTGAAGCTCTTGGTTAACACTTCCTTGTGTGCGGTCACATTTGAGGCAAGAACAATTACCTTGTTATGATATGTTGAAGTGTGGATACTCATTAGAGAGGTTGTAAATCAGACACCTATGCTCTCATGCTATTCGGGTTCGACTCAAAACAAAAAATTGAATTAGAATCGATTGATGTCGAGCCGTGCTCTTGGTTCAACTCTTTCTTGTGTGTTTGCACCCTATGCGTGCGTGCGTGTGTGTAAAGCCTCAAAGCTGAGGGTTAAAACCTACCTGAACATAGTGTTTTTGTGTGTGTGTGTGTGTACAGCTTGATTAATTTTCACATTGAAAATTGATAGAAAAATGTCATACATAAAACTTAGGATGATAAGATACAAGGTTCTTGGTACCATTAAAATTTCTAAAGAGAAATCACATTCAAAACCTAAAGGAAAAGGGGAGAAATCAGTCTTGGGGACAAAACTTGAGCTTCTATGGAAGCACCATCTAAACATTCGATATATCACTCTCCGGATTCCGATGGCAGTCCTTCTTTGAACCATGTGTAAAGACCCCCTTCTAAGTGGAAAACATTTTTGTACCCATTGAGCACCAGCAAGTAGGCTGCTATGAGTGACCTGCAAGTATTAACAAAACCAAGCATTTGAATCTAGCTATAAGATTTGAACTAAACAGAGTAAAAATTAGGATTAGAAGTAAAGTCGATTCTGCAAATACCCTTGTATTCTTCTATTTTCAACATTAGTGAAAATTCTCCTCTTATGAGTGTGATTTTTTCTAAAAGAGTTTTCCACTTAAAATCTCGGTCTCTTTTATTGTGAGCTCGCTGTATACATGTCATTATCTTCTAACAAGTTTCTAGTAAAGTGATTAAACCAATACTAGTGTAACACTATTGTTTGCACCAGCACTTCATCCTTGGAAGTTCTAAACATGGAAGATTGTAGCTTGTTTGATATTATGATTATTACTGCCTTTTTATATTATCAGAAATTGAGAATGCTGTAAATACTTTTACCTTGACTGTTGACCTTCAGGGAGATTTTGGGATGGCTTCATTGTACCCCCAGTGGTGCATGCCACTATTATCTTTGCATCCTTGTCAAATTTTGATTCTACACCTGCTTAAATACCAAATACTTAGTTCCTTTATATCTGCTAAGTAGTACATAGTGGTTAGACAATAGAAGAAACATAGAGCACGCAGTTCTACTTTGGATGAACTCAGGGTTCTCTTCTGTGCCGGAAAAGATGCCGAAAAATGCAAATGCCGCACGTCTGGCGATGTCCCAAGCCGTCCACTCCTTTATGAGCCTATATATCTGAATATTAACTGCACCTGTGGGATGAGCCTGCATCAAAATGGCATCAAATTTAGAGGCAGCACTTTGCTCATCTGTTCCTGTCATCAAATTTATCTCAGGGTTGAAACTGGCCTCTTTAAATTCAGCTTCAGGTCGTACATCAAGAATCACAAAGTTATTCTCCTTTTGGAGGCGAAAAGCTTCCTTTGCATCCACACTTCTTACCTGCAAGGAACAAATCTCTGTTGTTGATTAGCTTCTACTGGTCCAAGCTAGGGAAGGGTAGTCTTCTTATGCATCAAAACTTGCAGTTAAGCATGAGAAAGACTAGGAGAGATGAATACCCTTTTCTCCAAGAGAAGTTCCCTCTTAACCTTCCACTCTTCTTCAGCTAATCCCTCCAAAACAAGAGCAGAAAATTGAAGTCATCTAAATTCTATTGACTAATCAATCGTCTTATAAGCAGTAGTACCTGGTGACTTTGCAGGCTTTGTTGCTGCACATCGGATAATCAGGCCACGCCGATTCTGTGAAGCAAGTCTTTGCTTAGATGCATGACCTGATCTTAGAGTCAAAAGGCAAGAACAATCTGGAGTAATTTTGGAAGAGATAGTCAATGGGGAGGACCTGAAATTGGGGTATGCTGAAGAGGATGAAGTTGAGTTTGGGGTGATTGAAGCAATTGCAGCCATTTTCTTCTCAGAAAAGATCAGTTCTTGTGTCACGTTTAACACATATAAGCTGCAAAAAGAGTTTGGTGATTGTGGGGGTGTTATTTGAACTGAACTTGGTTTTTTCTTGTCATTTTCGTGTTGTTTCAAAGAGTGTTGGATGCTTGTTTTAGAAGTGGACCATTCATTTGGATATTTTCTTCTTTTTATCTCTTGAAAAATCTGGGTTTGTGGTTCATGTTTTAAGGTGTTTGTCATAGCTGGATTTCTGTCATCCACATAGAGCCCAAGCTGGCTTGGTTTATCTTCACTTACTTTTCAGTAATATCCCCATGCCCCTTGTCAAGTTTAGGTTCGTTACTTGATTGTATGAGAGAGTATTTCATCGAGTTTAATCAAATAAAAAAATTCCAGTTAATTGAGTTTATTAGCATTATTTTATTATTTAAAATTTTTAACTTAAATTTATGAATTTTGAATTCAATCAAATCAAATATATTTATTTAGATTTATATTTATATTTAAATATAATTATTTATAATATTACGATATTGATTGATTATTTAAATAATTGTTTTTGAATTGATTAAACCATTTTCTTTATTCATATGTGATAGTATATATTATTCAATAGGAAGAACTATGTATTTAGTCATTTAACCATTCATGCGATTCTGTTTTGGTTACTTAATTAACTTTTTAAATCACACTTAACATTATATTTTTATTTCATTTTGGTCACTTATCATTGAAAAATTATAAGAATTATTAATATGACATTTTATTATTATTTTTTAAATGATGACATAAAATTACCTTATGATGATACGTCAACATCACTGTTATTTTTTACCGATGGATGATTGAAATAAAATCAAATTGTAATATTACCTATAATTTAAGAAAAATAATTGTATAACCGAAGCAGAATCGCTTCAATAGTTAGATGACTAATAATTTATCTTTTGCTTATAATATTGTATCAAGCTTTGACTCTTTTTCTTATAAAAATTCGATTGCGATGAAATGAAATCCCTTGCTAGAAAAATTGTAGATGATCATATAAGTTTTTGGTTTTAAGTTATTACGAAACCATTTCCGATTTGCACCTAATCATTTTGTGTGTCAAAGTTGTACGAAAGTTTATTTCTTAATTTTGGATGATTCATAATTTTTAATATAACTTTTTATGTTCGTATATTTTAATATAAACTTTTACTTTCGTTGTCTGACGATGACATTCAGCCTGGCCATCACCGACTTTCATCATATGTAATGCCTCACTATGCCATAACTATTTGCAAGTTGCTTTAGTGGGAAAATATTTAATGTAATTATCCTTATTATTTTGCTATAATCAGTCTCTTAAAATATAAGGTATTCAGTGATAAATTTTAATTTTAAGGTAAACTCATACTCACTCTTTAGCTTTAGTAAATTTTTCGTTGACTCTATAGATAATTTATATATGTATTCAATGAGAATTTTTTTTACTGATGTTAATCGTTATTTTATGAATTATCATATATTCTATTTTATCTTGAGAAATATTAAGTTCATTAATTCTGATGTGTTTAATAAAGGACATTACCATTCATTGATTTTTTTTATAAGATTGGATTCTTAAGATTTTAAATGTTTAGGTTTAAGTGTTCTCATGTTAAGTATGAAAATCAATGGAACAATTCTAATGATAAAAGAAAATATCATCATCTTGAAAAAATTATATTTAAGCAATTCAGTTTATAAAATGTATATTATAAATTAATTAAAATAATTTTAAATAAATAATATATTATAATCATCTCTAACTATACGCTCAAACACGGAATTTTTATGGTTACCAACATTTTTAAATCACTAATTCTTAATGGTTCCTACTGACTATTTCAGACATTAAAAGAGAAAAGAAAAACATATCCCCAATAGAAAAAAGATAATAATAAATAGAATAAAATGTAGTATTTGATACCCAAGTTTAGCAAGAAAAAAAGCTACCAATTTGTCTTTGGAGTCGTTGTATATAGTTTTATGTATGAACATAAATCATGGAATACCATAGGGATATCTCTCTAAGATTTTGCAAGTTTGATGGGAATTATTATTCGGCTCCACGCTCAAGAAGAATGTTTGTGGGTCCTATCCATTACCACTTAACATGTATGGATTTTACATTTAAAGAAACGAAATTACCATGGGAAATGTGGAAGTGATCATGTTTCATGGAAATGTGGAAGTGATCATGTTTCATGGAAATGGGGAAGTGCATTACTATATAAGAAAGAAAAGCATGTATAGCCTAATATTTTGTTAATTCTTCTAAAATCAATATAACATTTATACATTTATTTATGTTTAAATAAAATATATAAACATATAAGTATGCATAAATTTTTATGTTCATTTAATAAACGAGTAAGAACAAAAAGACGTGTTTGGTATGAAAAAGAAGAAGTATTTATAGCCTTCTAAAACTCTAAAAATACTAAAGATAATACTAAGAAAATAAAAAAGATAATTATTTAAATCCTAAAAATAAAAAGATAAATCCTAAAACTTGAATTTTAAATTGCTTAAAATGCTTAGCCGCCCGTCCACCTTCTGGAAACTATTGACTAGACGTTGCTGACTGGGTCTTCTAGAAACTGTTGACTCACTGCCACGTCAGCATTTCATGCCTACTTTCATGCACACTATTCCAGCCTTGATTCTAGAACAAAAAAATATAATTTTTGGCCCTTTTAAGCACATTTTCCAGAAGTCATTGTCCTGCATAGAAAGCACATAAAAACATCCAAATGAGTAATAAAGATGAACAAACAAAGAGCATTTAAGCACAAAATATGGCACGAAATAAACACTAGTCAAACTCCCCCTCACTTATCTAATGCTTGTCCTCAAGCATTTATCAATCAGCATACTAAATCCATAGGTTGTCATTCCTTAACTCATATCATAATCTGATTGCCCCCAATAAACCACAATTAAGCAAAGAATTAAAAATTAGAAAGCAATCAAGCAAGTTGCAAAGCTAGGAAATAATCTAAACAAGACATTCCAATGGCTACTAATCTCATGATGCACAACTTGATTACCTTACAAAAGATTCACTCATCTGCTCAAAGTGTTTAAGGACAAGAAACGCTCAAGCCAAAGCAAGCCAGTGCATAACCATAAGCTTGTAATGTGATCTAATCTCTACCACTTAAAAACAAATTCAATGCAAAAGTCAAGGTCTTTAATTAGGTTGTAACGTGGTTAAAGTTTGGGTAGGGAAATAGGCCAAAAAGGTTTAAAATTGCCGAGACAAAAAGTCATAAAATTTGAAACAAGCCACCAATAAGAATGAAGCACAAGGAAGAGAATAAAACAACCAAGGGATAATCATTCGAATCAAGGGCTATATTTTTTTTGCTATTCCAATAAAGAATTGTTGTTGTTTTTTTTGTTTGAACAGTGAACAACCCTTTTTTTCGAAACTATTTTTTGGGTAGAATTTACAACAACATTTTTCACTATTTCGGCTGTTATTTTTTCGAACAAAAATGGTAATTTTTGTGGTGAAAACAAATTTTCAAAGTCTCAGCAATGTTGGAAAAGAGAGGGAAAGAAAAGAAAATGCTAAGGGTTAATTTTAATTGGGTGAAAATCAAAGAAAAAGGAAAGTCGACTCAAACTTGGTTCACTAAGGGATAAATTAAAGGGTATGTTTTTTGATTGGGGTAGAGAAAATGGTTAATCCTAATGCCTCTATCATTCAAAAGCATCAAATTCATTATCCATGTAGCCTTAAAAAGAATCAAAACACAGGTTCTAGAATGCAAAAACAATGTTTGGCACACACAAAGAAACAAAGAGCAAGAATGAAACAAAGAACTCATGCTCATTAGGCTCAAGTCTCACCAAGATAGGTTCAATAAATCAAGTGAATGCGTCAATTAACCAATAATCAATGGAACATCATAATTTTGAGATATTAACTAGCTAAAGCAATGAACCATCTTGCATTCAACGTCAATTCAAAGCGAAATTAGATAATTCATTGGAAAACAATCAAATTACTCAACAAATCAAGAGAATGGGCAACCAATTGATCAAGCACATCGAAATCAAAATACTCAATTTCAAGCAAGCAACAAGCGAGGAAAAGTCTAACATGTTATCCTCCCCCTCACTTAAATTGTTTTGTCCCAAAACGTAATTCAAAACAAAGATGCAAAGAAGAGGGAAAAGGAATACTCCCTGATTTAATGACGACCATGATCGCGGTTGTATCGAGACGATCTCAGTCGTAGGTAGGAGAGAATCTCAGTGAGATTGGATTCTATGGAGGTGAGGCGACCTTTGACGTCTTGCATTTCTTCTCACACATCTGGTTGTGCACTAGGCGCTGGTGTTAATGAAGGATTGACCCTTCTCATGAAGAAGCACTAATGGCATGGCGTGATGGTGCCGGAAGACACAATGTGTGGAGCGACGGGTGTTCCAGCGAGAAGTCACATTGAATCCAATTACCTATAGTCCAAAGCATCAATAAGAAAAACATAAGTGAAATTAGTAGTATCGAATGTTGTTGGAAATAAAAGTTGAGCTAGGTGCATAATATAAGGGCCGATAATTAAGGGTCGATTGGTTCGCACAACTTTGTCGAATGTTCGAGCAATCCAATACCCTACGTTTACCTTTCTCTCAGTTTCCATACACCACAAGAAGAATAACTCAACCTTACTTAAGTAGTACATAGTATTGTTATGTCTGGGGAAGTTGTATGCTAGAAACCGGTGTATATATCGGAGAGCTAGGTCGTGAATATGCCACGCCTTTGATGTTCGAGAATCAAATTGTACTCCCGCCATGCCAGTAAGTGCTTTATAGGCTATATCAGTGTTAAAATCTTGCGAAATCTTACACAAAGACATTAGAAAACTTTGGTCCGTGACATTCGTCAAGAACCACATGAAAAAAATAAAATCAAATAACGTCATTCTAAAATATTGCCCCATCAATCGAAAGGTAACAACACGCTTTCGTGAGAATTTAAAAGTTGTGTAAAACTCAAAGACTAACTCAAAACAAGTGTTGCATCGAATAT